CCTTAAAAACCCCTAGATTTCTTCCCTCAGTGTCACTAGTCTGAGTTTAGGGGGGCCCTGTGTCACTTTGTTCTCTGATCTAGTTACTGGCACCTCTGTTCATCCTGCACTCTCAGAATGGTTGTGTCTCATGCCACTTCACCCAACTGGACCCTGGAGAAAGCTTCATCTATAGTGAGTATCACCCATAGTTTTGCCTTGAAACCTTCCCCAAACAAACCCCTGATCATCCTGAGCCTTATATGAGTGTGTATATGTTTGTGCATTATGCATGTTGCCTTTGTTATTAATAAATTAGGATATTAATTGGAGAAGCCTGTCTCTGCTTTGTTTCTCGAATCCCCTGGTCTACTCAGTATACATATCGGGAGGCGATATCCACAAGGCTGTCATAGCCAGCCCCTCACATAATTTGAGCTAATTATAAATTCCCCTAATAACACTCTTTGCTACAGTTGTTTCATATTTCTTCCAAATAAAAGCTCTCCTAGTTCACTCACACCTAGAAACTCTATCAGTTATTACTGGTATAAAAGGTCGTTCCAGTCCTAGAGGTTACACATCTTCTTGCAAGCCAAAATAACATTCTCCAACTGCTGTGGTTAGTGGAGGTTCTCTAAATTTCACATCAAGGGTAGGCAACCTTTCCCCTTTAAGGGCCGAGGGACTTCATCTCCCAGAAGCCTCAGCCATGTTGGCCAATAGTCCCATGTTGGCCAATAGCTCCTGGGATTCTGGGAGCTGAAGTCCTTTGGCCCTTAAAGGGGAAAGGTTGCCTACCCCTGTTTCACATCTTTGTGGGTACTGGGGTTGGAGATGGGGAATTCTATAAAAGTTAAAGGAAGGGGTGACATTGTCAGCCCAAGTGGTCCATCCATGATACCATGGACTCTTGCCATTTGTTCCATCATGCCAGGCATTGATTTAAGACCCCTTTTTTACCTTTTGTAAAAAAAATGCATCCATCATTACAATGACAAAAATAAGGTATAGTTAAAACTGCACTTTCTGAGAGAACATGGCGAAGCCTTGAGCAAGCTCTTTAGTAAACCTTAATAAACCTGGGATGAAAAGTCCAATTTCCCATTCTTCTTGCTTATCCAAAGTAAAAGAGTAAAACTAGAGTTTCTTGGGGATAAATGTGGGGGGTCTCTTAATTAAAATATTGAGAAATGCCACCCCCAAATGAGATACGACTCTTTCTAATCCACATGCTTCCTTGTTGACTAGTAATGAGCCATTGACCAATGGTCACCTTTTCCCATCTTCTGTTTTTCAGCATGATGTGAAAGTAGTTATTCATTAAAGTCATTACATTATTTACAGCTTTTTCTCTGACAATCAGTTCCCCACAGTGACATAAGAATAATATAATTTCCTGCAGTGCCTAAGAAGCTAGAAGGCTTTAAAAATGCATAAAGCCCCTTGAAATTACCCAGAGGGACTGAGTTTAAAAATAAATAAATAAATCTCTGCAGAATTTCTAAAGCTGCATCCTCTGACTTTGATCTGCATAGATCAAAATCCCCCTGTTGCTACTATACAGGCATGCAGAAGATCCACAATCAGCAGTTCTAGGCAGACAAATATGAGGACATAAATCTACAATCATTCTCTCAAAGCTGGTATGTTGGAGACTTTACACATCATCTCCTTCAACAATATTACACTCTCCCATCCCATCTTCATTTGCCAGTTTTCTCCTTCCGCACACCTGCTCCCCTTTTCAAATCGATATCAAAGGCTTCTTTTTGTGTGATGTGCTAATGCCAGAAAAAAAGTATCTACTTTACAAATCTCATTGTTTTTCATAACAATGAACTGAGCTTTGGAGTATATGCACGAAAAGAACATTTTGCTTCCACAGACAAGGACAGTTCTGCTTCCCTTTGTTTTGCTTCTTATTTCCTTTTTTTCTCCCCTGGTCCCTTGCTGTTTCAGGGACAATTAGGACTCTGGCCTTGTTTCTGGTTTCTCTTACTTTAAATATCCAATTTGTCCATGCTCATGTTTTATAATATTTCTTTTTCTCAGGGGCTGTGCAATTTCATTGGAAATATTGTTAATGCAGTGTAGAGCAACTCTAATGAGGCCTTTTAGAGTTGAAGGCAAAGCATTTGGAAAGAAATGTTACTTCATTTGGTGTGTTCTACTAATCTTCCACTTTAAAGAGCACACAGCATTAAACAATAATACTGTATCTCAATGAGTGTGTGTTTTCAGCAGATAATGAGCAATCAGTCTTCAGCTACCACAGTTAGGGGGCACCTCTGCCACCACCAAAAATATTGTAGAAATGGCTCTGTTTCATATTTTGTACTTCATCAGAAGCAGGATTGTTCTGTTTTAATGCAGATACAGCCTGAAAGCCAATTGTGTTCATCATGTAGAAAGAGAAGGTGACCACTAAAAGAGGTGTGCGTCATGCTATACCCTCCTGCCCTGTGATTACCTTATAGCAAGATGTATACAGTCCTCTTCTCTGCCAAGTTCTGCTAAGTGGCCTTGCCTCAGAGTTTGTAAAGCAAAGAATTAATCAGAAAGCACAAAGATAGATTTGCATCCCTGCATCTACATTCCTCTTTTGCTGGTCGGATACGAATTACACCTCAAATCCTTGTTAACCTCCTTGTTAACCTCCTATGTGATTGCATGTGAGTGCATGAACTCTATCACTGTTGTATCTAGTCTGACACCTTTAATTCTTCATAGGTTTTGTTGGAATGGGGAGAAGGAGTCAGCATTCCCACTTCTCTTTTGACCACATGAAATCATGGAAGCATAAGATTAGATCTTACACTTCCTTTGACTCTCTTCTGTTTTGTGAAACCTCTATCTTTGATTAGATTATCTTGATTATTTTATTTTAGATTCCATGATTCTGATCTTTTGAATGCAAGAAATACCAAACAGAGCGAGTGAAGTGTAGTGGTTAGAGAATTAGGCTATGATTCTGGAGATCAGGGTTCAAATCCCAGCTCAGCCATAGAAACCCACGGGGTGGCCTTGGTCAAGTCACACTCTCTCAGCCTCAGAGGATGGCAGTGGTAAACCCTCTCTGGAGAAACCTGTCAAGAAAACCCCATTATAGGGCCACTTTGGGTCACCATAAGTCAGAAATGACTTGAAGGCACACAACCACTAACCAACTCTATTTTGGACCATGTTGTTAGCTCTTTTTTCCAATTTAGATTAATTAACAAGCTGTCTAATAGTCATATTCCTTGAATGTAAGGTTTTGCACTTCTTGTTTATGCTGAAGTCCTTTTGATTTTGATTTGGGCTTTGCATAGGCCCACGATCCAATTCAGGGCCTGATTTAGTGGTTCAGATGCCCCAATCTGCTGCAGATTTGGATTGTTATTTTGGAATCCAGATACATACTCCTCCCACTCATTTACACTGAAAAGTCTAAATGGCTGTGACTTTCCTGTTTCTTCACACATCAGGATGAATTTTGAAAAGACAGGATTAACTCTGACAAACTACAGAAAGGTAGCTTCAGGGAGTTTTGTGTTAAACCACTTTCAAAGTTTCATTTTGCAACTGTACTTCTGAACAAGCTTGACTAAACAAATGTGGTGGTGTATCCATGTGTATGTACTGTATATGTATTCTGCTTTAGACAATGTATCTTTCTTTCTTGATTGCATTACAAACTTATCTTTATTGAGTGACTAAATATCTCAATAAAAAAGACCCCATAATATTGGTGGTGGGATGTTAAGAACAATTGTAATTATAAGGTCCTACCTACACCCCAGGCAAATAAACAGTCAATCAGTTTTTATTTACAGTCAACAGATCACTAAAATATTAAACCATCAACTGAAATACATATATTTATATTAAAATGCATAGTCATACAAATTAAAAGAAAACAACATTTTTTAAAGTTACAAATAAAATCTCAAACAATAAGTGGTCTGGTGAGAAATAGCTAGATCCAGAAATGTAGCCACTTACACAGTCACTGACTTATTAGAGCCTTAAAGTAAAATAATCACAAGAAACTAGCCAGAGAGAGCCTGAATAATAGTATACACTAAATCCTTACTAGCCCCTTCATGATACCTGCAATGCTCCCTAGTGACTCAGGGCAAAAATGTCTCCCGACCATTGATAGCCAATAACCTATGTTCAACAATCAATTTAATGCTAGATCCCTACATTTTGCACCACTGTCTTCACCCAAAGTATGCAAATGAGTCTGATATACTACTGAAGATCAAGGAACAGGAAGTAAAAACCAGGGAGCAATATAGCCAAAAGCACAGAAGAAATACGTGCCTGGCATTTTCAGGAATTCAGGCCAGACTTCAGGTTAAAGGTGGCTCTGACACCACACTTGGGGTACTGCCACACTGCAGAATTAATGCAATTTGATACTTCATTAATCATCATCCTTCCATCCAATAAAATCCTGGGATTTACATTTTGTTATAGTACCAAAGAAAGCTGATGGAGAAGGCTAAATATTTTTTAAAAATTACAAATCTCATAATTCCATAGCATTAAGCAATGGGAGTTAAAACAGTGTCAAACTGCATTAATTCTGCAGTGGAGATGAAGCCTTAATAACACTGAAGTTACCAAGGAGTAAAGAATGTTTGTCAAGAGAAATGTTAAGAGTAAGAAAACCAAACTGGTGCCCAGAAAACAATCTGGAAAATAATCTGGACTTGAAAAACCTTGAAAGCTGATAAACAGTGCACTGGGAGTAGTGAAAGTTGAAATCCTGTATCCCACATCTTGTCATTCCCTGTATGGCAATCCCTCCTAATCCAACAAAATAGTTAATTTTAACAAAACTGTTAAAAATTAAAGCCTAAGAAACTACATGAAAAACTCTATCTCACAAATATGTGGACAAACAAACTCCAAAACAGTTAAATTAAATAAAGCTCAAGAAAAGTGAGAAAAATCTCACAAATACACACCCACACATTAAACAGCTTCACAATGGGAATTCTCCCATTGTCCACAACTAACAGCAAACAAATCACACACACGTGTGCACACACACACACACGCAGCTCTCAAGAGTTTTCTGAAATTGACTTCTCTAGTCTGTCTCTGACTAATGCCAAACAAAGAGGAGAAAGCAGGAAACTGGAAAATATATGCCTGATGTATCACATACTAACCCTCCCAGAAAATGCAGCTTTTGGGAGCATCAGAAAATATTAATGGAACCTGTGTTGTGGATTAGAACTTCATTCAAAGTGTAGGGTTGCCTTTTGTTCCAGAAAACTGGGAAAATCCCAAGTTTCAGAGTATGAAAAATGTCCCGGCCAGCTGAGTGGGTTAAAGCAGCAGATCCCATATTCTGAGTCGAGGTAGGAGGGAAACCTTGCAAGAAGACTCATTATGCTGCCTTTGAGGATCAAGGTGGTACTGTGCAGGAGTGAGAGGCCCAGAGTCTAGAAGGCGAGAAAGCAAAGGAAAGAGTTGAGGGGAGACTCTGAGCTGTAAAGGAGGCTTTTGTGTTGTGCCCTGGACTGGTAAGTGTTCTCACACTCATGGCTGCCTGGAAGCTTCCCTTTCCTTCACACCCTCCCCATAAGTGTGTGTAAGTGTGAGTGTGTGAAAAGGAACCCCACACACTTTGCTTTCCCAAGTTTCTTCCAAGCCTCAGCAGCCAAGGCCTCAGGATGTCTTAACCAAACCTTGTCTATTACATATATAAACATGCATCATGTGAAATATACACTTCTTCCCACCTAATTTGTGAAACAGCCAGTCCTTGAAGTATTCAAGTCATTCTTGAATATCAAATTTGCAATGACTGTAACCTTTGTAAGATCTAACTATCATATTTCTAAAAATGTGTGTGTGCACACTGCCATACTTGTGTCCTGTTATTAGTGCAGGATAAATCCCAATGTTCTTTCTCCATTTCACCTGTTCCCCTCATATTGCATGCGATCCATCATTACATGTCTGAGAAAGTAGCAAGTGCGTGCTTTCCAGATTCACAAATTAGAGTCAAGAATTCATTTAGTTGAACTAATATTTACTAGATGCCAGAAACATCTGGGAAATGGCTCTCATTCAGGGGAAGCTCCACCCACAGGGCACAGCACTTCTACTTATCCTGGGCACCAGCCATTTAGACTGTGCCAGGCAGGCATCTGCCAGGTTCCCTGGCTTTGTCTCTGACCATCTGTTTTGCTGATTTTAATGGAACAAGAAACCTTTTGCAGTTGATATGCACCTGCAGAGAGAGATGTCAAGCCATTTCTGACATCTATGCCTTTTGACATTTTACTGCCAAAATAATGTCCAAAGTACAAGGCGGAGGGAGGGAATGGGTACAAGGGGACCTTCCATGTGAGGAAAGAAAATGACAGCAGATGTTCATAGGCAGGGGGGACTTGCAACCTGTGGGATAAGGAGAGCTTCAGATGGAGGAGCATCTCTATTAGTGCCCATCTGTGACCCCCATGGAACACACACAAGCTCCTTGTGCCAAAATATAGTCATCTGCAAATATTCTGATGAAATTCAAATGAGATGGTGGAGGCAATGGGGATTTCTTTTTGAACTTGTACATTTGTCAAGGTCACTAGCAGAAGAAAATGATTTTATCACTGGACAAGAAATAATGCTGGCTGAGGGACTGGGACAGTCCAAAAAGTAACTTTTCCAAGTTCTTCACTTTTAGTGCTTCAGAAAAGAAAGTAAGTGGATCAAGTCCACTCAAATATTCAACATGGATTACAGTCTCATGAGCTATCAAATTATCTGAATTTCTGACACTATGGAATGAAGTCTTAATGTACAGTGACAGAACAAGCACATACTACTCTGGATCTGAAATAGTAATACTGCTTGCCCTTTTTCTTTTTCTTTTTCTTTTTCTTGAATACCCTATATTAGATATGAAATTGGTTGCAAAGCCAGTGTTCTGTTCTCTCTCATACTTCATGCATTTTCATTTCTAAAGTTCTATGTCACTTGTTCATTCACCATATCTTTCAGTAATTGTAGGATTCCTATTTCTAATGAAAGAGTGTAACTGAGAAAGTCTAAGCCAATCTAGCAATTGAGAAGTAATACCAAATAACAATTTGTGCCTTAGAACTGTATTTCCATTTCCCTAGGCAATGACTGCAGAACTTAATATAATCTTAAATCCAAGAGCAATGCATTTTTACAAGACATGCATTCTTCTATTATAACTACAAAATTGAATTTAGACTTCAACAAATTATTTTATAAACTAATATACATCCACTGGTTTGCTGATCTAACATTAATCCAGCAACAGAAACTGACAGCCATTTATGATATGAAGTGAGCTACTTATTACATCAGAGAGAAAGAGTGGTGTAGTGGTTTGAGTATTGGACTAGAACTTTGGAGACCAGGGTTCAATTCCCACTTTGGCACGGAAACCCACTGGATGACCTTGGGCGAGTCATACACTCTCAGCCCCAGTAAACCCTGTGATAGGGTCATCACAAGTTGGAAATGACTTGAAGACAGACAACAACAACTTATTATATCAAGTGGACTGTTGAACATCCCACTAGCTCTTCCTATGCAACAATCCTATAGTGTTATTCCATGTCATTCAGCTATTGGTATGCCACAAAAAAAGAGCAAGAGAGCAGTCCAGAGCCCAAGAAAAATGTGTGCTTTGGAAAATGGAGAAAGGAAATACCAGATAATATTTTGGTCACAGTCAACTGAACATGAAGGGGGGGCCTTTCTCCTGCCTTCTCTTTTTGAAAAGTAGGCTCTGAATGTAAAAAAATTACATATACAGGCTCAGTGGGCATAGAAAGCTAACTGCTTGCTGCTTGGAGGGATGGAAAACAAGGGGCAGATGGGATGGAAAGAGTCATGACTTTCTAGAGCCTAGAAAAAGAGTACTCCACAGCCCAGTATTTTGTAATCAGTGTTGCCATCCTTTCCAAAATAAATGTTAATAGTTTAATTTAGAGAAGCTTGCCTCTCCCTCCTCTACTATCTATACCA